TTTTTTTTTTTTTTGATAAAATGTGAATTGATACAAAAAAAAACGGAAGTTTATTTTGTTGGTGAGGTCAAATTTACAGTATTAATAGTAGTAGGTCTTACTTGTGGGGAATATTTGGAAGCATATACTATTAGTCTATTACTGATGGCTGTGACGTATAACTGTATAATTTTGTGGCACGTGAAAGATTTGCTTTTGTGTGTTTGCAACTGCTTAGAGATGCATCTGTTCTTTGGTAGGTCGACCTGTCGAAAAAAAAATCTTACAATTGAATTTTCTTATATAAAAACATCTTAAGATTTGGCTTTTGTTGAATGAAATCAGAGATCACAACAAAACAAAAGAATAATTGATTTAAGATTATGTTTTAGTTATCTTTCACAAAAAAAAAACAGAATCCGTCACCATAAGTCTCTAGAACAAAGTGATTGTTCTTAACATTGAACATTAAACAATGTTTAACAATTCCATTATTACATATCAATATAACATGTCAAATACAAGCATATGAAGAGTCATGAATCTTTAACACCAACTTACTTGATTGTTCTAGCAGAAGTTGGAAAGGTAAGCTTGTGCTAAGGAAAGACCGAGCTGGACTTGAGCCTCGGTGGTTAAGTGAAGATTGTCGGGCTTTAGCGGCAATCCTTTAGCATCTACACAGACCACATTCGAAAGTTTCAAACCCAACTGTGCTTCTCTCACCTTATCTATGTATCCTCCTCCCGATGCTATCGCCACCTGCATCAATCAAACCACCAAAGGTTACCATTCGAAATCTGAACTATGGATTTCAAAAAGACAACATCACTTAGAGCACTGGCTATTCACATTGTTATTATCATAGCTTTCAACTTTTATAACAATTACAAAACTGCAACTTAGCTCTTTCACCATTAAAATCTTCAATCAAACTACCAAAGATTACCAATCAAAATATGACCTACCGATTTCGAAAAAGACAACATCACTTGCATCAATTGTTATCAACATTTAAAAAAGGAAAACACTTTGCATTATTATAGCTTTCAATTACATAATTGCAGCTTAGCTCTTTCACCATTAAATTCTTCAATCAAACCACCAAAGATTACCAATGGAAGTCTGAACAAGCGATTTCGAAAAAAGACAAATACTTGCAGCAATTGTTATTCACATTGTAAAAATAAAACACTTTGCATTATCATAGCTCTCAACCATTGTAACACCTACATAACTTGCAACTTAAATCTTTCACCATTAAAACCTTCAATCAAACCACCAACGATTACCAATCGAAATCTGACCTACCAATACCGATTTTGAAAAGACAACATCACTTGCAACAATTCTTATCACCCTTTTTAAAGAGAAACACTTTGCATTATCATAGCTTTCAATCTTTGGAACAATTACACAACCTGCAACTTAGCTCTTTCACCATTAAAACTAACTTATGTAGAGTACAAAAATGGGAACTAAATCACAGGAAGAAGACATTCAGGAGCTAAAAAACCACAAGCTTCTTGTTAAAACAGAGACAAGAGACAGTAACCAGAACAAAATCTACAAACTTTCACTACTAAAAGCATGGAAATGCTTCAATGGAGAATCAAAATGTACTAAATCCATCAAGCTAAAAGTACAAGGAAGATGGAGAGTGAGAGAGAGACCTGAATAATGGGAAGAGAAGGAAGATTGAGATCTTGACGGAGATTCTTAATCAAACGGTCCATATTGCTTCCGTAACTCTCAGCGTCGTGGATATCCAACACGTCACTCTCTCCTTGATACCAAAGCAACGCCTTGGTCTCTCCTCCGGATTTCAAGCTCTCCTCAGTTCTCTTAACCATCGTCTCGTACAAATGACTCCCACGTTCCCACTCTTTAATCGCCGTTCCACCGGAAGCGCAAGGAACGAGTCCGATCACGTCCGAATCTTTGTTCAGGCGATTCATCACCGCGTTCGCGAACGCCATCCCTGGACCTACCCCGCATACTTTGTTGGTGTCGATGTCGGAGTGGAGTGGCTCGTGTGCTTGTTCCCATCGGAGATCTGAGCTCAGACGGAGGATTGAGGGGTTTGGTGCGCATTCCGGTGGGAGGATTTGATCCCATACCCAGCGATCGGTGTGGTGGTCTTTGATGACGCCTCCACGTCCGGCCATGTTGCTTTGTCCGGAGAGAATGAAGATCTGATTTGGGGTTTTGATCTCCAGTTTCTTCTCGCCGGAAATGGTAGATTCTTTTTCCATTTTTAGTATCTCTTTCGTTGAGATGTTGCCGGAAAAGAGAATGTATTGAGTAGAGATTCTTTTTACAAAAGTTATTGAAATTTGGTCGTCTCCAGTGTACTATTGATCGGACTACCTATAGAGATAAACTGAGTTTGGTCTGAGGATAAAAGGACTACCTATAGTGCCCTTAAAAAGATACAGCGAGTTAACAAATACCCTCGTTTTTTATGTATCTGTTTCATTTATTAACCATAAACACGGATAAAATATATGGGTGGAATACGTTTTTGAAATTCTAAACAAACAAGAAGCCTTAAGAATCAGGGAGCCATTCAAAAGCTAAATTCTAAGAAGACGACAAAAGAGACAAACAGTAGAATCCTAAACTCAAACCTTGAGACAACGAACCAAAGTTGACCAACAAGGATACCGAAGTGCACCAACGTATCTGAGACACGAGATGAGATGCCAACCACCGAGCTCACGATAACAACAACACTGGCGAAGATGAAAGCAAGCCCAAAGAATCACGAAACACAAGAAACTAATACCGTCAAAGCCGCTCTAGAAAGACGATGCAACCGAATCGAAATAGGCTCAAGGAAGATAACCTTGAAATCCGCTTGGAAAACGCCAAATAGAATCACCGACTCTTACACGCGCACACAACAGGCTAACCTTAGCCACATACAGACAAAAGGTTGACAACCTCCTCGCAAGAGAAAAATCGAAGAACGAAACCACAATAAAGACTTGAGGTCAACCACAAATCCCTAAGGATTCTCCGGTAAAACTAGTAGATGCCTCTGCAATAGCATACCATCATAATGACGAACCCCCAAAACAAAGATCTAAACCTCATGTCCAACCATCGCCAGAGGACAAAATCGCAAAGCCGAGATAAAAAACCAAAAGTAAAATCTTACCAAAGCCAAATCCAATCGAATAAGACCCACAGTCGAGCTAGAAACAGATAAAAAGGACCCTTAAAAAGCCAACTCCAATTGAGTAAAACCCATACAAACTAATAACAAAACAAACTATTCTCACCAAGCTATGAGACCACAACCGAAACACAAGCAACGCTAGCCCAGAGCCGCAAGGGACAACAAGAGCTCAACTCGTCAGTCCAACCACGACAAAACTGGGAGCTTTCTACGTCGACTGAACAAACCAGATCCAGCGAGAAAGAGGGAGCCCAGAGACAGACTTCGAACATAGATAGATCTTACCAAGACTATATCCGAGAGAAAATCAAAGCCAAAAACCAGAACTCTAGAGCTCAAACCATAACCTGCGATTGACCGAAACTGAAAAGACAAGCATACAAAAAGCAAAATACTAAACTAATTGAAGCCAAGGAACTGACGACTACGTTGTGCTAGCCGACTACGCTGTGCTAACCGCCAATCACCGGTCCATACTGAAAATTGATTGAACCTAAAACAGCGTCGTAGTCTTTTTTAGAGAGGAATTAGGTTTTTTTTTTTTGTCTCGGATAAAATTCTAGTAACTACAAATACTCTCGTTATAACTTAGATTTAATTTTGATTTTCTTTTAATTCAAAACCTAAAGAAATTACAAAATATTCATACAAAATCAAAGTATTTACTGATCCAACCACCTACTGTCCACTCATATCCGATTTTCACCCAACCCAATTGGATCAATTACAAAATTTAATTTTTAATTAAGTTAGATATGAGAAAACCCTTTTTATTTATTTATTTTTTCGGATA